AAAAAAGTGAAAAATTTAAAAATCGGTTAACTGAAGAATCGAAATATCAAAAAATTGGAAAATCGAAAAACTGAAAAGTCCCAAAGTAAAAAAAAAATCGAAAAACAGAGAAATCGAAAAATCGAAACATCGAAAAATTCAAAAATTGAGACATCGACAAATCGAAAAATCAGAGGATCGAGGAATTGAAAAGTCCAAAAATCGAAATATGAACGGAAAGAAATATCCAAAAAATTGAGAAATTAAAAAATTGGAAGTGAGAAATCAAAAAACTGAAAAGCAAAACCGAAAAATCGGAAGCTTAAAAATCGAAACTTTGGGAAGTCGAGAATTGGGACAATAAAAAAAGATTGGTGCAGAACTCGGCGAGCTGAAAATTTAGAAACGTCAAAATTTCAAAAATTTCTAAAATTGAAGAGGACAAAAATTGAGAAATCGTATCATTGAAACACCGGAAAATTGAGAAATCGAACTATAAACTAGCCGAAAAATTTAAATATCTAAAGTTTAAAAAACGAAAAACTGAAAATCCAAAAAATAAAAAATTGAAAAATCAAAACATTGGAGAATCTCAGAACTGATCTAAATATCCAACGATTAAAAAGTAAAAAAAATGGAAAATTGAGAAATTGAAAAACTAAAAAGCAAATTCGAAAAATCGAAGAATTGAAAAACTGAAAAATCTAGCAATGGGAAAATAAAAAATAGATTAACTGAGAAATTGGAAAACTGAATATTTAGCAAGGTCAAAATTTGAAAAATTGAAAAACAGAATTACTGAAGAACTGAAAAATCAAGACATCGAGAAATCGAAAAATCTAAAATTTAAAACACTGCACTCCAAAAATCTAAACATCGAAAAATTCAAAAACTGAGACATCCAGAAATCGAAAAATTAGAGGACATCTGAATTCGACAAATCGAGAAATCAAAGAAAATTGAAAAATTTAAAAAAGAGAAATTGGAAAATTCAAAAATTTAAAAATCCGAACAATTGTAAAAATTGAAACATAGAAGAATTGAAAACTCGAAAAATCGAAAAACCTAGAATTTTAACAAGTGAAAACTTAAAACAACGAAAAATTAAGAAATCGAAATTTTGAAAAATCCCAAAACTGAAAGAAATATCCAAAAAATTGAAAAATTAAAAAATTGGAAAAGTGAGAAATCGGACAACTGAAAAGCAAAGTCGAAAAATGGGAAGCTTAAAACATCGAAACTTTGGGAAATCGAGAATTGGGAAAATAAAAAAGATTAGTTCAGAAATCGGAAAGCCGAAAATTGAGAAATTGAAAAATAAAAAACCGAGAAATCGAAAATTTGAAGAATGGAAAAATTAAAATTAAGATATTGAAAAATCGAGAAATCGAAAAGTCGAAAAATCTCAATAGCCACAAGTTCAGGACTATGCTACTTTTTAACATTTAAATAACATTTATTCGACAAAATTGTAAGATATCATTATCAATTCCTGGGAGCATGAACGAATAAATTTTGACTAACAATTTAACATGCTTCCAAAAACTATATTATTATTATTATTATTATTATTATTATTATTATTAAAACCGTAAACGGAGGATATAAAATTTAAATTACATAGACTATTGTAAAATTTGGAAATTACGTCATTTCATAGTTGGTGACAAATTTGGGTGAGTGTTTTTTAGGCATTTGAAATATAAATTTTGTCATTCGGGAACATTATGTATTAAATCGTTAAAATGTTCAAGAACTTTCTTCACTTATTCGTTGTAAAGTCCGACCAGAATTTAATTATTCGTAATATTACTGCTGTGTCGCCAAGTTCGTAGACCAATGATGAATGAATTTGGAAATCAAAGAATGAAATATACCTATACTTACAAATCCATTTTAGGTTTTCCATCTCTTCCAACCCATCGTTAAATACATTTGCAGAACTATCTATATTTACAACATCCGGCCTTAAGGCCATGTCCATAAATGAAGTCTTGGAAAAACCCGTCCGTAGAAAAGATTCAATGAAACAAAAAAAAAATGAAAAATTGAAAAAAATCGGATAACTCAAAAATCAAAACATCGAAAAATCGAAAAGCCGAAAAGTAAAAAATCAATAAACCGACGAATGGAAAAATCGAAACATCGAAAAATTTAAAACTGAGACATCGAGAAATCGAAAAATCAAAAAGTTAAAAATGGAAAAATTGATAAATCAAGAGATTGAACAATCAGAACATCGAACCAACCGCATCTCGATAAATCGAGATCTCAAAAAATTGAAAAATCGAAAATTTAAAAATCGCAAAACTGAAAAATCAACAAATCTAGAAATCGAAAGTCGAAAACTTAAAAAATTGGCAAATTGAAAAAATCGGATACCTCAAAAATCAAAACACTGAAAAATCGAAAAGCCGAAAAGTAAAAAATCAAAAAACCGACAAATCAAAAAAAAATGAAAAATTAAAATATCGGAAAGTTGAAACTTTGAGAAATCAAAGTATAAAACGATCAAAAAATTGAAAAGCCTGAAGTTCAAGAAACGAAATATTGAAAATTCAAAAAGTAAAAAGTCGAGAAAAGTCGAAATACAAAAAAATCCCAAAACTGAAATATCCAAAAATTGAGAAATAGAAGAAACATTAAAGAATCGAAAAACTGAAAAATCACAAAATTGAACGAAATATCCGTAAATTATATAATTAATAAAATATTGAAAAATTGGGAAATCGAAAAGTCAAAAACCAAAGTCGAAAAATCGCAAACTTAAAAAATCAAAAAATTAAAAAATCAAAAACCTGAAAAATCGAAAAAATTGAAGAATTGAAAAATTGAAACTTAGGGAAGTCGAGAAATGGGGAAATCAAAAAACAGGAGAAGTCGGAACACTTAAAATTCATGAACGTCAAAATTTAAAACATAGTGAAGAACTGAAAAATCGACCAATTTAAAAATTTAAAGTTTAAAAAACGTAAAACTGAAAAGTCGATATCGAAAAATTGAAAAATTGAGAAAAATAGAAGAATCGAAAAACTGAAAAATCACAAAATTGAACGAAATATCAAAAAATTGGGACATAAAAAAAGTCAAAAAAGCTAAGTCGAGAAATCGCAAACTTAAAAAATCGAAAAATTGAAGTATTGGAGAATTGAAAGATCGAAATTTTGGGAAGTCGAGAAATGGGAAAATCAAAAAATAGAGTAATCGAGAAATCGGAAAACTGAAAATTCAGAAACGTCATAATTTGAAAAATTAAAAAATATTGAAGAACTGAAAAATCGAAAATTTAAAACATGGAAAAATTAAAATATCGTTAAATTGAAAAATAGAGAAATCCAAAAAACAAAACTTCGAAAATCTAAAATTTAAAATTCAACAAATCGAAACTCGAAAATTAAAAAAATCGGATAGTTCAAAAATCGAGAAATCGAAAAATCAAAAGATCGAGAACTCGAGAAGTCGAAAAGTCGAGAAGTCGAAAAATCGAAAAATTGAGAAACAGAAATAGTGAAGAACTGAAAAATCAAGAAATCGAGAAATCGAAAAATTTAAAATTTAAAACACTGAACAATTTAAATATGTATAGCAAAAAAAAAAAAATCGAAAATCTAAATTTTAAAAATCAAAAAAATAAAAAGTCGAGAAATCGAAACTCCAGAATTTAATAAAGTGAAAAATCTAAAAATTATATAACTGAAAAATCGAAACATCAATAAATTGAAAAGGCCAAAAGTAAAAAATCAAAAAACGAAGAAATCAAATAATCGAAACATCGAAAAATTCAAAAACCGCGACATCGACAAATCAAAAAATCAGAGGATCGAGAAATTGAGAAGTCCAAAAATCGAAATATTGAAAAATAACAAAACTGAAAGAAATATCCAAAAAATTGAGAAATTAAAAAATTGGAAAAGTGAGAAATCGAAAAACTGAAAGGCAAAGCCGAAAAATCGGAAGCTTAAAAATCGAAACTTTGGGAAGTCGAGAATTGGGACAATAAAAAAAAGATTGGTACAGAAATCGGAGAGCTGAAAATTTAGAAACATCAAAATTTCAAAAATTTCTAAAATTGAAGAGGACAAAATTTGAGAAATCGTATCACCGAAACACCGGAAAATTGAGAAATCGAACTATAAAGTAGTCGAAAAATCAAAACATCGAAAAATTCAAAAACTGAGAAATCGAGAAATCGGAAAATCAGAGGATCGAGAAAGCTGAGACGAAAAGTTCGAAATCGAAAAATTGATAAATCAAGACGTGAAAAAAAAAATGAAAAAATCGAAAATTTAAAACGCCCGACAATTGAAAAATTGAAATATAGAAGAACTGAAATCTCGAGACATCGAAAAACCTAGAGTTATAACAATTGCAAAATTAAAACAACGAAAAATTGAAAAATATAAAGCTTAACGAAATATTGAAAATCCAGAAATCAAAAAATTCAGGAGTCCAAAAATCGAATAGTCGGAAAATCGAAATATTGAAAAATCCCAAAACTGAAAGAAAGTCGAAAAATCGGAATCTTAAAAAATCGAAAGTCGAGAATTGAGAAAATAAAAAAAAGATTAGTTCACAAATCGAAAAGCTGGAAATTTAGAAACGTCAAAATTTGAAAAATCGACAATTTGACTAACTATTTAACACGCTTCCAATAACTATAAATTGGAAAATGTTGTTGATTTTTTCCCAAAAATCATGACGTCTAAGGTAAAAACTCAACACGGATTCATAAAACGTAAACGGAGGATATAAAATTTAAATTACATACACTATTGTAAAATTTGGAAATTACGTCATTTCATAGTTGGTGACAAATTTGGGTGAGTGTTTTTTAACCATTTGAAATGTAAATTTTGTCATTCGGGAACATATTGTATTAAATCGTTAAAATGTCCAAGAACTTTCTTCACTTATTCGTTGTAAAGTCCGTCCAGATTTTAATTATTCGTAATATTACTGCTGTGTCGCCAAGTTCGTAGACCAATGATGAATGAATTTGGAAATCGAAGAATGAAATATATACTTACAAATCCATTTTAGGTTTTCCATCTCTTCCAACCCCTCGTTAAATACATTTGCAGGACTATCTATCTATCTATGTTTACAACATCCGGCCTTGTCCATAAATGAAGTCTTGGAAAAACCCGTCCGTAGAAAAGATTCAATTAAACGTCGAGAAAACATGAAAATATCCAGTCGCCCGAGGTACTGCATTGAAATAGTTCCTTAGCTTACGCTCGGGAAGTAAGAAGAAGGATCTAAAGGCCGGACCTCACTTCTTGGTACTAAATTAAGTGAAATAAATGAAATAGTTGTAAAAATTCCTGCCTTCTCTAGTCGTTCTTGCACCTGCTGTACCAAAACTAGGAGATTCACTCTCCGGTCTTCCCCTGCCCTCGCTCGCCACCTCGCTTCCGCCTTCCCCAGCCGCCAACCCGTCCCCCATTCGCAGAAAAAATCCCATCGCACACCTCTAGCGCCGGCCTCACCTCCATCCTCGACAGTGGCAATGGCAAAGCCTCGACCGCTACCACTTCTTTGATTTAACACCTAGCACACGCTCGTCATCTCCAGTCCGCCGCGAGCCCTGGCAGCATCCGTCCAAGAACCTGTTATCCGCGAGTGAACCACTTAGCCAAGAACCGGAACATAAACAGTGCCAGCACGCGCCGCTCCTCGGTGTGATGTGATGGAAGACGCGAAATGTTCCTGCACCAGAACGACTACTACCAGCAGAACCACGAGTCGTCCTCCGACGGGTGCCTGTCGCCGCGGGGCTCGCCGGGCTGCCACCCCCTGAGCCTGTCCAGCCCCATGTCCATCTCCTCGGACCCGGGCATGTCGTCGCAGCCCTACACCCCCAACTACTACAAGCAGGAGAGCTGGGGCCACTACGGGGAGAACAACAACGTGTACGGGTACAAGTCGGACGGGGGCGGCTACGGCAGCCAGGAGTTCTACCGGGCGCCGTGCAAGTACAAGAAGGACGCCAAGAAGGGGGCGGCGGCGCAGGCCGGCATGGAGGTGATGAAGAAGCGGCGGCTGGCGGCGAACGCGCGGGAGCGCAGGAGGATGAACAGCTTGAACGACGCCTTCGACAGGCTGAGGGACGTGGTGCCGTCGCTGGGGAACGACAGGAAGCTGTCCAAGTTCGAGACGCTGCAGATGGCACAGACGTACATCGCCGCTCTGCACGAGCTGCTGCAGAGGGACTGATTGTGATATGGTCTGTTCTATTTATTTATTTATTCTAGAGTTAGATCAAGATGATGGTCTTGAAGGCGGGCTGGGTTTGCCTAGATCGTGCAATATTAGATATTAAGAATATCCAGACGTGCAATATCTGTGTCGATATTTTTAATTGTAGGTTAGTGTAATCGGTGCGCTTCTCTATGACTTTGTGATATCGGAATACAGTGCAATAATCGGTACAGTGCGGTTGGAGGGATCAGTGCAATTATTTACTTTACTTACTTAAGCACACAGTATTAACGCTAACAAGTTTTTAGAATATGTGCAAGTTTAAGCTGGTTGTTATTTTTTTACATATTTATTGACTTGTTCCTTCTTGTTCTCTGTTTTTATTTTGATGTAATTATGTACGATATTGTAAATGAGCGTTTTTATGTTCCTTTTGTAATATATTTTTACCAAATGTATCTCAGTTAGTGCAATATTTTTAATAAAGTTGTTTTTCAATAGACAATCTTTTTTTCACATTCAAAAGTCCAAATTCATTATGCGGAAGTTTTGCCTAAGGTTACGTAAAAAATGGGTTACTAGCTCTCACAATGAAAGAAAATTTCTAAAAAAAAAATATGATAAATTGCTAGATAAAACTCGTCAATTTGTATGCATCTTTCGTCTATCTTCAGCAACTAATCGAAACAACATTAAAATTCGCGTTCTCTCAGGAATAAAAAAGAAGACCTGAAGGTTAACGAGTTGAAAGTGCGTAAAGAGGGTAAGTCCGACATTTCTAAAATTATTAAGTACTTAGTAAACCACCCAATTGTAACAAAGTACATTAAAAATCTTTAAGAAAGGTAAAGTTAAGCCAGTTGAAATTAATTGTTTGGATGCAGTAGTTCTGTTAAAACGGAAGATTTAATTCGATTTATCGTCTGTGCAAGCCTGAATGAGCGCATGGAACACCTGCCCGATTTTGAAATGTATAATGGACAGCATCAGCAGTACAAATCGTAATAATAAACTTTAATTAACGGAAAACGGTTATAAAAATATATCATCTCGGTACTTCTACTTGTAATGGAATAATTTAAGCAAAACAATCCCAAAAATTCTGAAAAGTCGGTGGAACCAGCAAATATTTTTTAGAAATACTGATCAGATTTTAGAAAAAAATTAAAGTTATTCTAATTAACATAGTCCTACATATGTAGTTTATGATTCCGTATTGAGTTTTTACCCGAAACGTCCAGGTTTTGGATTTTGCAATTTAAATTTGAATCTGCAAAACCGAATGCCTTGGAATCTTGCAGATGTTTTAAAGTTATGATAAGCACGATAAATGTTTAATCAAAATATATTTACTTATCCCCTCTAAAAAATTAATGACGTCAGCTCAAAATTTTGCGGAATGTATCCTGTCTAAAGTGTGCAAACTATGGGTGGGGCTTATAATAAAAGTACTTTAAATATCAAATGGTATACACTAAGAAAATGATGTGATGGATGAATTTTTTCTTCGTTGTCAGATAGAGAGGAGGAGTTAGTTGCAAAATCCATATTAGAGAACGGGTGGGTGGGCGGGGCTAAGTTTAACTTTTTCCTAGAGAGTCTTTTATAGACAAGCAGTAGGCCCGCCCACTCACCCCCTCTTCATTCTGGTGACTACTCTTAATACTGTTAATTAAAAACAGATAATTTGTTATTTTCCTTCTATTAATTATTCGATCTACACCCCATATTTCAAGGGATTTTTCTTCATTTATAGTGATAGTGATACTAATGTTTTATTCGCCACATTACAATTATATAAAACGTAGGTATCAGATAAAAATACAAAAAATAGAATGTCTAATAAGGAAAATATAAAATATAAACGTAAATACTCCAACCCAACCAACATTTTGGACAGTTTGTTATTAATCTTTAAATTCTTTAAATTTAATTTGTTAATTTTTTCTTTTAAACAATAAATTTCGTCTTCTTTTTGTAGCAATAAATTTTGGTAGGACTTTCCTGGACACTCGATTTGAAAATTGTTTATCAGTGGATATCGAATTTTGAATGTTAATATTTTTTCAGTAATTGTGTTTTCTGGATTGATAATTTTAAATGTACCTTAAAGTATAATTTTAAAGATATCTCGGGGAACACTTTTGTTTTGTTTTTGAAGTAGTTTGAAAGAATCTCGGAAATCCTTTGTCGTTTGTTGTTGGAGTAGTATCAAAGAATCTCAGGAAGCCATTTTATTGTGTTTTTGATGTAGTTTTAAGGATCTCGAGGTTGTTTTGTGTTTGTTTTTGAAGTTGTTTGAAAGAATCTCGAGGGCTCCTTGTGTTTTGTTTTTGAAGTATTTTTAAGAATCTCGGGGGTCCCTTGTCGTTTGTTTTTTAAGTAGTTTTAAGAATCTTGGGGATCCCTCGCCGTTTGTTTTTGACATAATTGAAAGAATCTCGGGGACTACGAGTACTTGTGTTTTTTTCCTGAAGTAATTTTAAGGATCTCGGGGACGTATTATGTTTTGTGTTTGAAGTAATTTGAAAGAATCTCGGCGACCACTTATGTCCGATTTTTGACCTAATTTTAAAGAATTTCGGGGACTTCTTTCGTTTTGTTTTTGAAGTAGTTTGAAAGACTCTCGAGGGTCCTTTGTCGTTTGTTTTTGGAGTACTTTCAAGGAATCTCGGGTAGCCATTTTGTCCTCTTTTTGAAGTAGTTTTAAGGCTCTCGGGGTTCTTTTGTGTTTGTTTTTGAAGTAGTTTGAAAGTATCTCGAAGACTCCTTGTTTTTAGTTTTTGAAGTAGTTTTAATAATCTCGGGGCTCCCTTGTCGTTTGTTTTTGAAGTAGTTTGAGGGAATCTTGGGGGTTCTCCTTGCGTTTTGTTTCTGAAGTAGTTTTAAGGATCTCGGGGACTCCTTGTTTTTTTTCTGAAGTGGTTTTAAGAATCTCAGGGGTCCTTTGTCGTTTGTTATTGGAGTACTTTCAAAGAATCTAGGGTAGCCATTTTGTTCTGTTTTTGAAGTAGTTTCAAGGATTTCGGGGTTCTTTTGTGTTGGTTTTTGAAGTAGTTTGAAAGAATCTCGAGGAATCCTTGTGTTTTGTTTTTGAAGTAGTTTTAAGAATCTTGGGAGTCCCTTGTCGTTTGTTTCTGAAGTAGTTTAAAAGAATCTCGGGGACTCCTTGTTTTTTGTTTCTAAAGTAGTTTTAAGAATCTTGGGGGTCCCTTGTCGTTTGTTTCTGAAGTAGTTTAAAAGAATCTCGGGGACTCCTTCTGTTTTGTTTCTCAAGTAGTTTTAAGAATCTCGGGGCTCTCTTGTCGTTTGTTTTTGAAGTAGTTTGAGGGAATCTTGGGGGGTCTCCTTGCGTTTTGTTTCTGAGGTAGTTTTAAGGATCTCGGCGACTCCTTGTTTTTTTTCTGAAGTGGTTTTAAGAATCTCAGGGGTCCTTTGTCGTTTGTTATTGGAGTACTTTCAAAGAATCTCGGGTAGCCATTTTGTTATGTTTTTGAAGTAGTTTCAAGGATTTCGGGGTTCTTTTGTGTTAGTTTTTGAAGTAGTTTGAAAGAATCTCGAGGAATCCTTGTGTTTTGTTTTTGAAGTAGTTTTAAGAATCTTGGGAGTCCCTTGTCGTTTGTTTCTGAAGTAGTTTAAAAGAATCTAGGGGACTCCTTGTTTTTTGTTTCTAAAGTAGTTTTAAAAATCTTGGAGGTCCCTTGTCGTTTGTTTCTGAAGTAGTTTAAAAGAATCTCCAAGGTCCCTTGTCGTTTGTTTTTGAAGTAGTTTTAAGAATCTCGGGGGTCCCTTGTCGTTTGTTTCTGAAGTAGGTTGAAAGAATCTCGGGGGTCCCTTGTCGTTTTTTTTTTGAAGTATTTTTAAGAATCTCGGGGGTCCCTTGTCGTTTGTTTTTGAAGTAGTTTGAAAGAATCTCGGGGACTCCTTGTGTTTTGTTTCTGAAGTAGTTTTAAGAATCTCGGGGGTCCCTTGTCGTTTGGTTTTGAAGTAGTTTTAAGAATCTCGGGGGTTCCTTGTCGTTTGTTTTTGAAGTAGTTTTAAGAATCTCGGGGGTCCCTTGTCGTTTGTTTCTGAAGTAGTTTGAAAGAATCTCGGGCAGTTTTTGAATTTTATTTTTGAAGTAGTTTTAAGAATCTCGAGGTTCTTTTGTGTTTTGTTTTTGAAGTAGTTTTAAGAATCTCGGGGGTCCCTTGTCGTTTGTTTCTGAAGTAGTTTGAAAAAATCTCGAGGACTCCTTGTGTTTTGTTTTTGAAGTAGTTTTAAGAATTTCGGGAGCCCCTTATCGTTTGTTTTTGAAGTAGTTTTAAGAATCTCGGTGTTATTTTGTGTATGTTTTTGATATAGTTTGAATGAATCTCGGGGACTCTTTGTGTTTTGTTTTTGAAGTAGTTTTAAGAATCTCGGGGGTCCCTTGTCGTTTGTTTCTGAAGTAGGTTGAAAGAATCTCGGGGGTCCCTTGTCGTTTTTTTTTTGAAGTATTTTTAAGAATCTCGGGGGTCCCTTGTCGTTTGTTTTTGAAGTAGTTTGAAAGATTCTCGGGTACTCCTTGTGTTTTGGTTTTGAAGTAGTTTTAAGAATCTCGGGGGTCCCTTGTCGTTTGTTTTTGAAGTAGTTTGAAAGAATCTCGGGGACTCCTTGTGATTTGTTTTTGAAGTGGTTGTAAGAATCTCGGGGGTCCGTTGTCCTTTGTTTCTAAAGTAGCTTGAAAGAATCTCGAGGGTCCCTTGCCATTTGTTTTTGAAGTATTTTTAAGAATCTCGGGGGTCCCTTGTCGTTTGGTTTTGAAGTAGTTTTAAGAATCTCGGGGGTCCTTTGTCGTTTGTTTTTGAAGAAGTTTGAAAGAATCTCGGGGACTCCTTGGGTTTTGTTTTTGAAGTAGTTTTGAGAATCTCGGGGGTCCCTTGTCGTTTGTTTCTGAAGTAGTTTGAAAGAATCTCGAGGACTCCTTGTGTTTTGTTTTTGAAGTAGTTTTAAGAATTTCGGGAGCCCCTTGTCGTTTGTTTTTGAAGTAGTTTTAAGAATCTCGGGGGTCCCTTGTCGTTTGTTTTTGAAGTAGTTTGAAAGAATCTCGGGGACTCCTTGTGTTTTGTTTCTGAAATAGTTTTAAGAATCTCGGGGGTCCCTTGTCGTTTGGTTTTGAAGTAGTTTTAAGAATCTCGGGGGTTCTTTGTCGTTTGTTTTTGAAGTAGTTTTAAGAATCTCGGGGGTCCCTTGTCGTTTGTTTTTGAAGTAGTTTGATAGAATCTCGGGGACTCATTGTGTTTTGTTTCTGAAGTAGTTTTAAGAATCTCGGGAGTCCCTTGTCGTTTGGTTTTGAGGTAGTTTTAAGAATCTCGAGGGTTCCTTGTGATTTGTTTTTGAAGTAGTTTGAAAGAATCTCGGGGACTCCTTGTGATTTGTTTTTGAAGTAGTTGTAAGAATCTCGGGGGTCCGTTGTCCTTTGTTTCTAAAGTAGCTTGAAAGAATCTCGGGGGTCCCTT